TTACAAATATTTAATTACGAATATTTTAATTTAGTACAAGAAAACAACGTTTCTTACGTGCTAATTCATTTTTTTTTTAATATAATGAAGGTGTGGTCTTAATTTTTGAACCCGACTCACCACGACAAATTATATATCTTATATTTATAAAAATAATAATTTTATGTATAATCATGCGTCCCACGTTATAATTTTGCATTGACTAACCGATTAATCTATGACTAAAAATGATTGAATTTTATGATGCCGACAAAAAGGAAAATAGTATTATGATAACATCTCATTGATGCCTCTTGCAAACGTCAATAAGACTACGACATACATAAGATAATCAAACTATATTGATTGAGGACACAATATTAATGATGGTCTACCTTTTTTTTTTTTTTTCTTGTAAAAGATGATGGTCTACTTGTTATTAAAGTATAGAAACGTGAAATTTTGAGAGTTTAATGAAACAATCACGAGCTTAAAGCTTAGATTTTAAGGAGGTGAGGGAGTACAGTTTGTGAAAACTATCAAATACAACATTTGATAGCTAATGTCAAGGTAGTGTTTCTTGTAATATTTAGATTGGAAAAACAAAACTCCAATTATAAACTACTTTATTTAATTAATATATACACAACTACTTTATTTAATTAATATAGACACTCTTTTTTTCTTCTTCTTTTTTTTGTTTAAAATACACTCTAATTTTAAAAAACTAATGTATCATACCAAGTCCTTTATTTCAAAACAGAAAGAAAAAAAAAAGAATCTAAAAAGGGAAAAAAACGATTTATTGCTAAAGAAATTCTCACACACCCAAGAAAAAAAAAACAAAATTTCACATAAGATAACGAAACGGAAGTCTCTTTATCAAGAAGTAGAGTTGACTTCATTATGAAGAGTTACATGCACAATTAGGTACATACATACAATTATACATTCATGTAGATGTATAACATAAAGCCGGGCCAATACAATCCCACATTAAAAGGCCACCGAACTTCTAAAAACTCGAAAACAAAACAAAACAAGAAGAGAGAAACCATACAAGAACTCCGTTTGAGTTTGCAAGGACAAAACCTTTATATCACCGAAAATTGGCGGTGCTCTTGTAAGTCATACCGGTGTTCCAGTTAGCTGGAGCAACGTTCCAAGCATAGATTGTTTCACCGGTGCTGTAAGAAGTGACCCGGAAAGAGAGAGATTGACCGTAGAGAGAGGAAAAAGCTTGGTAAGAGGCTCCCCAATTGTGGCTCATGTTTATCCAATTCGTCCGGCTACCTTTCACGGCCATGCTCTTGATGTCTCCGACGCCCCCAACATTCATGACGAAAACGAGAAGCCAATAAGCATTGCCTTGGAATTGAAACTTCATACCTCCAACCCTTTTGCATGGGACTCTACATCAATCACATAATAACACAAATTAGTTACAGTATATACTTTTGGAGTATGAAGCCTATATATCTGTATATCCAATAGTGTGATGACTACAAATAAGGTCACTACTCCATGAGATTATACATATATGACTAATCAACTTCTTTTTTGGATCTAAATGTAAAGTTTATACCATTTTAAATTTGTGACAGCCATCACAGAGAACTAGAAAATTAGAAATGTTGAAAACTATTAACAGAGGCAAGCTACAATAAGAAAAGAATTGGACAAAGATCGAACATGCTAGATACACACCTTAGCAAATCGAAAAAAAAAAACCGACGAAGAAACATTGATTCCGATAATCTAAGCTTAGAATTTGCGTTGTTGTCGCAATTTCTTAGAACTCTAAAGACTAATCAACTTTTTTTATTTCTTTGGGATGAATACCATTTGAAGCCTATTCATATAATTTCGAAGCTCTAAAGTCTATGGATTATGCATGATTACAAATATTCTATAGCTATATATGTACCTGCGGTATGCAACTGGGATGATACCAGCCTTCCAATTAGCGAGTTTCATGAAAGCCGGTTTAGCCATATCGAAATGGGTTCTAGGAGGATTGCACCAACCACCATTGTTTGAGTCTTGGTACCAATTAGGAGGGCAAAGGTTGGTGGCTGTGACCACCGTCGATGGGTTTCCATAGTAACAATGTGGCGACTTCATACACGTTATTTGAAAACATTGGCCGCATCCATAACCGTCTTTGAACAAGGTCGTGCTTAGCGCCGCCGTGGCCATGCCGTATCCGCTGTTAAATAGGTTTCCATACCCACATGCACCACCTGCATATATATACATAGAGTTATTATGCCATTGATTGGTATATTCGTATGTATGAAATACTGTGATTATCAGCCCTATTCAGAGTACATGCAAATGAAATAATTGCTACTAGGAATTCGGGCCTATAGGAACAAAAATTTGGGAACTTTTTTTTTTAAGTTACAAAATAACATAGGAATAAATCATTTTAAATAAAAAAACCTTGAGCAAGTTTTTGAAAATGTTGGACCGGCTCTATGCATGGTATAAACAAGAGAAGTGAAATGGAATTTTTACGTACCCATGGTTTCACTACCGGTCTCGTCGCCGTAAAAAGTGGCGTGAGCATATCTCCATGGGCCTGGTTTATAGTATCCAGCTACGATTTCGCCAGAGATGGCGAAAACCACGAAAGCTATTGCGAAGAATTTGTGGAAGCTCGAAGAACTTGAGAGTGCACCCATCTTTAGTTTCTTTTTCTTTTTTCGATGGGTTTTCTTAGG